AGTTAGAACAAAAGACCTTGCGCATGGGCTTAAAATTCCATTAGACTCTGAATCCAATAGCCACCACTTACGGTGTTGATTGAATGCATATTACAAAGGCAGTTATTTTTACAATAATAACGATGCTTTGAGTGAATGGATTCAGACGAGACATCTGAGACGGCCTACGCTTTGAGCGCAGCCCTTGTCTGCTCCTGTTGGAATCGCTGTTGGAGCTTCGTAATCTGCTCTCGGTGATTGTCCCGTTCCTTCTCCATCGTCTTCATCAGCTCGTCATTTCGTTTCCTGTTAAAGCCATGTAACATTGCTGACTTCGCGTGCTATCTACTTCTATGTAAGATACCTTAATGCTTTCCTAATACATACAGTTTATCAAAATACAGCCAACAAATTCTATATGCGTGGAATTTTTGGACGGCTACTTCACAAATTGTGTTCGTACACATCAAACACTGACAGAATTTGGGATCGCTTAACGCAAATAGGATAAAAATTTCGACTATAATTGGACATGTTAATCTTAAATACCGCCTACTGGGATGTTTCTTACTAAAAAGGAAACATCCGTTGGCAAAAATTAGTTGAACTACTTCATCCAAACTGAAGAAACAAATATAATTACGTTGCAGTAGTTCTCCTCCTGAGCAAAGCTTAACTATGCTAACTTACCACACATAGTGCTGAAAAAGTGGTAGATTTAATGCATTAATCCTTGCATAAATAAACCCAGTTTTCCTATCCTTTTAAACCGAGAAGAATAAGGGGCTAATCCCAAGCATGCAGATGCATAACGAAAATGCATTTAACTAGAGAATGCAAAATTTGAATACACTTGTACAAAATGTACAAACAGAAACAACCCATTCGTATGTAAAACAGCATGGGTTTGCTTTAAAAGTTCGCTGAATTTCATGTGAGCAAAATTCAGTTTAGTCAAGTGCCCTCATGGAACACCTAAACAGTTAAGTGGGCAATAAACGTTCATAGCTTAACCTTAAGTACCACAATATTGATGCACACTGTCCAAGCAACCATTGGCAGATGTCCGACAGCGAAAAAAATAAGCCTATTGGGGTTAGCTTCGATAGTTCTGCCGATTCAAGTTTTAGGTACAGTCCAGCCCAAGTGTCGCTAAACACTCGTTTCCAAAGTAGTGGCGGAATTTACCATTAATTGTTTGCAATGATCGATGATGATTCACTCCGAGACAAAAAATAGTGCCTTGAAACTCCACAGATCTCAGTGATTATTTGATGTCACTCCCTAAATTGCAACCTGGTCTCAAGGAAAATCAAAGTTACTCTTGGAATGGTGAATAATACAAGATCCACCTCACCGATCACATCATAAAAAACTACAGCTTCGCCCACCTTGAAGAAATATGTGCGCTCTATATACAAATTAAAATAAACACACTTAAAGCACCTTAAATGCACGCGAACTAACATCAACACCAGCAGTTATGCTAAAGTGCATTTAAGTCAGGCCGCCTCGCTACCAGTGATGAGTACATTTCGCCGAAATGACCCTTACAACACACACTCGCAATAAAAACGACCATGAGCAAGCGGACATTTGAGTAGAAAAGGAATGCGGTGCGAAGACTAGGATAACTCCAGCCTAGAAGTCTAAGAATTAAGTGACACACGAACGATAAAGCCACAGTAAAGTAAAGAACTTGTCAATGATAGATAGCAAAATAAGTCGATTTATGTGACTCACATTTCATCCTGTATATATTTAAGGCGCTTTTTGACGGTGTCTCGGGCCTCCTCCAGACTCTGTTCCACCAGGACCGGTCCTATGAGTTTGAAGACCCTATTTTCCTCTGTCAGAACCTCTAAGTCCTTCTCAACGTTTTCATTTTCCGACAGCTGACCTGCCAACTGCTGATAGGTCTGCAAACGCTTCTGAATGTTCCCCTCAACTTCCTGAAGCTTCTCGACCTCCTTCGTCAGCGACTTGTAAACAGCCTCCATGTGTCCGCTTGGTAACTATAAAATGTTATAATGCACCTGTTGATTAGTGATAAATGGTAGCCCTAGCATAGGTTCAAGGTGTTTTGTTTGCCTAACTGAAGTAAGGTCAAATCGTAGAGTTCCGAAACAATTGAATATATTATCATCAGATTCTTTCATACTAAAATGTGACCATAGTCAAAGTATGGCTACAACTATACAGAGCATCAACGATGGTAAAAAACCAGGACGAAATATTCCACTGAAAATTGCGAGCACAAACCCCTAATTCAAAAAACTGCGCAAGATAAAGTAAATTATCCTTCAAATAAACAAGACGAATGGCGTAACGATCGGAACGTGCACAGAAAGACTACTAGAGTAGGGCGGCTGCTTATAAGGAATTATGGCAGTTAACTATAACAAACATTCATATTTCATGGGAAACAAATGCAAGAGCATAAAACATGCTAAAATCCAAATTATAACTAACTTGAAAGCGATCGCTATGTTGTTGAAGAACTGCAAAAATGTATACGTAAATATGAAAGGGGAATGCACAACTAATTATGTAGCAATAAATGACGAACTGCTTAAGTGTGCTACGTTGATAGAAATCACAGTCAAAGAATTATTGCCATAGACGTAATGCTTTGTTTATGTGACTGCCTGACGTTTGGCGGTCACCTTAGAATTTGTCTGGCCTCTGTAGACGTGGCTGGCCTTCAGGCCCAATTTGTCCTGCCGTCTTGAGAATACATGTATTCACACTCACTTATGCCTTCTACTACCCTACGGGAAGTCTCAGGACGCTACAATGATGGCAGCGGAACGCGAACCCAACATTTTTTAACGACTTTTATGTGTAATGTACTTTTGAAAGCGACATACTGTGCGGGGAAATCTATTGGCCAACAGACACCGCTGTCTTACTGACATTTTACGGTTGTGTTGCTAAACTTTGCCAATTAATCGACTGATTTCCAGAAAAGAACAGTACGAACAGGCCGACGATCGGATTATGCAATAGTTCAATGCATGCAAGTACCTCAAAATCGGGTTCTCTTGGCCGGAAACTCGAAACCTCTATTTTCACAACATGAAGTTTATAATCCAACCAGCAGACAAGACTGCAAAGGAGTTCTACTTTGTGGTGGAGAAATCAAATATTAATAGGCACATATTGGCGTTGCGCACCGGCACTCATGAGTTATACATGCGTAGAAGGAAGTCTGACTGATCGAAGTGCAATTGATGATGATACAGACCAAAAGGGACGTGAATTGAAGGAGGTTCACTTACCTTGGTGACGGTGAATCCCTGAATCCTTCACAACCAAAGGATTTAGACTGACGTCTGCATTTGGTTTCACCTTATTCCCCGTTCAACAGACAAACTATTAACAACTGAGGCGAAACCGTTGTGAACTATTTGGAAAAGTTTCATGTTGGAGTTTTCCATCCAAAATCCGTCTTTGGGTGTCGGAAATCGACACCACCATAGATGTATGTGGTTTTGAATCTGGTTGTCAGACCGAACGTAAGTCCAGATCCAGTTGAAGCTGCCGAAGAGGCTACGTACGGTCCCTCAGTCTCATGCTATCTGTCGACTGGCGCGGTTAGCCCGTCGGTGCTTTCATCGAATACTGAATATGTTGTGATGGCTGGCGCGGGAGGTGTACCAGAGGGGAGCGCCGAGAACGTCGCTCAAAAGAAAAGAGGGCCAGTGTGATGCTTTGTTTATGTTACTGCCTGACGTTTGCGGTCACTTTAGGATTTCGATCCGTGTCCAAGTCCATTTGCCCTGTCGTCTTCGAAATACATGTATTCACGCTCACTTAGGCCTTCTACTACCCTATGGGAAGCCTCAGGACGCTACAATAACTCCTCAGGCAACAAAACTTATCAGATCGCCAACCTGTAAATTAAATAAAATATACGTCAGTGACTAAATTTCGCTGTGAGGCATTTTAGAGAGTCTCCGCCACGGATCAAACGCGTCACTTCCACACCGCAGGCACATGCAACAAACAGTAAGTGCTAATATAAAGCCGATAAAAAATGTCGAATTCGATACCGCTGTCACCAGTGCAGTGTCCCCAGACTTCCTACGGGGTGAAAGGAGGCAGCAAATGAAACTGGATACATGTATTC